GATATGGTATCTTCCACTGGTGAAAGATATCAAGTTTTCGACACTAGAGAAAACCTGGTATTTCATCGATATCTATATAATAATAAATGATAGCGCGCGCATCGTTGGTTTCTCTGGCTCCATTTAGCTCGCTCTGTAATCTTCCTCTATGGTTATGCTGGCTTCGCATGTAATCAATTTAGTATTCTTATTGATATTCCTTGATGATGGATCTGAGATCCGAATGTTTGGAAAACAAATATATGTAGATGGAACAACAACTGAATATTTAATGACACCTACGTACAAATAAACCTTGAACAACCTTGAGCAAATAATGGTTACAAATCAGGCGTTACTGGTCAACACAACTTATCTTAAGGGAATCGCGTGTGTTCTACATAAACATGACGCTTGGGACAAATAAAAGTAGGATTGTATTTTTAATTAAAAACATTAAAATGTTTTTAGATGAGCCTGAAACTAGAGACGCCTGGTGGCTAGAAGTAAGAACTGAAATCCGTAGTCACGCAAGATCAATGGGATGTAACGCTGTCGTCGGATACTATGAGTCGACCAGCATATGGTACAATATAATATAAACAATCGTTACCATATGACAATGAATCATAATTGGTGAAATGTCTTGTTTTCTTGGTTTTACATACGAGAGGTATAGGAAGTATCCATCCATCCATCCCTCCCTCCCTCCCTCCCTCCATCCATCCCTCTCCACCCATCCATCCACCCATCCATCCACCCATCCATCCGTCCATCCCATCGATCCATCCATCCCATCCATCTATCCATCTATCCATCTATCGAGACAAAATAGATAAATCCTCGGGAGATCCAAAATCAACTTGGAAAATAATCAATGAATTACGAGGTAAGAAATCAAATAATACTGTGATTAATGAAATCAAATCACCATCATCTGAAGCGGTTACTGATTCCAAAAGTATATCTAACATCTTAAACTCGCATTTCACGGGTATTGCAGCAAAGCTTGCTTCAGATATTGATGCTGATCAATGCAATATCAGTGCTGCTGATTACATTTCCAAGGTTAAGACTGTGTTACCTCGTCACTCAGTTACCTCAACTGAAGTTGAAAAGATACTCAAAAACATCAAAACCGATAAAGCTACAGGTCTCGATGGAATTACAAACAACATTCTTAAGTTATCTGCATCATATATTTGTGAATCATTATCCGAATTGTTTAATCTTTCTGTTCATTCCGGTGTGTATCCAAAYGAATGGAAAATTGCTAAGGTAACTCCCATTTTTAAGTCTGGAGATCATAATGACTCAAACAACTATAGACCTATTTCTGTGACAGCGACAATTTCTCGTGTTTTTGAAAAATTGATCTGTAGTCAAKTAAAATCTTATCTTAAGGAAAATAACTTAATCTATTCTCTTCAATCAGGATTTAGACCATTACATTCTACTTTGACCGCTCTTCTAGATCTCACCAATCATTGGTCTTTTAATATTAATCGAAAATTGGTCAACGGTGTCATCTTCCTTGATTTAAAAAAAGCATTTGACACCGTTGACCACGATGTTCTGCTTACAAAGTTATATTACTACGGTTTTGATTCATGTGCCAGAGAATGTTTCAGGTCGTATTTGACTGATAGATCCCAACAGTGTTCTGTTAATGGTGTTTTATCAGATATGAAATCAATAGCGTATGGTGTTCCACAAGTTACGATCCTAGGTCCGATCCTCTTGTGTACATCAATGATTTACCGAAGTGCTTAACAGTTAGTAAAGCAAGATTGTATGCTGACGATACGAGTCTGACCTTCTCTGATGGTAACGCAATTGACCTAAAAAAGCARATGGACATAGATGTAGATCATGTATCATCTTAGCTTTGTGCAAACAAACTAACTTTAAACGTCATTAAGTCAGAATTCATGTTAATAGGCTCTAGACAGAGATTATCTGCTTTCCGCGAGGAGGATGTAACYCTGTCTATAAATGGCCTCAACTTGAAAAAAAAAACAACGAAACAAAATGTCTTGGAGTACAGATAGATAATAATCTGACTTGGTGCCGTCATATCGAAAATATCAAGAAGAAAATTTCATGCAATCTATCCATCATTAAGAAAATTAAGCCCTTCCTAAGCAAAGACTGCCTTAACAAATTGTGCAAGGCAATAGTTGAAACATATTTCAACTACTGCTGTCTTGTTTGGGATGGTTTTGATGAAATATTAGCAGAAAAATTACAGAAATTACAAAATCGTGCTGCGCGCATAATTACTGGAGCACCATACACCAGTGTACGGACAAACGATATATTTAAAGACCTTGGTTGGGTGCCATTAGCTGAATGCAGATTACAGCAGAAAGCTGTAATGATGTTTAAAATTGTTAATGGCTTAGCCCCACCCTATATGAAAGATATGTTCCAAAATCACCTCGGAACCGATTCTTACTTTTTACGCTGTTCTGCAAACAATTTCCAACTTCCCAAGGTCAGAACCGATATCTATAAGAAAAGTTTTGCGTACACTGGTGCAAAATTATGGAACTCCATACCTGATTCCTTGAAAGAGGAGCGCTCCCTCTCAAAATTTAAAAAGAGAATTAAACAGTATGATCTCTGCATCAATAGCTATAAGGATTGATTTTATCTAATTAATTATTTAAAATCTGTTTTTTCTCTTTCGTATTGATAGTTTAGCATATTACAATATAATGTGTAAATAGTATTTATATTTTTACTGTTATATTCTACACGGCCTCTAGGTAGACCAAAGTTAAGTTCTTTTGTATGAGACTTTTTATATCATTGTACTTAAGTTTGATAGAGCTTTCGTGTCTAAATAAAGTTGATATATCATATCATTCCATCCATCCATCCATTCATCCATCCATCCGTCCGTCCGTCCGTCCATCCATCCCATCCATCCATCCATCTATCCCATTCATCAATCCATCCATCCATCCACCCGCCCACCCATCCATCCGTCCGTCCGTCCGTCCATCCACCAACCCACCCACCCACCCACAACAGCTACGGCAAAGATAGCAACCATAACAACAAACAAACTAAAAGCTGTTTATTCATTTTTTATTATTAGCGAGGAATTAATAGTTTTATCAGCTACTGGTACTGCTGCTTGTATTGACTCTAATTTATTCGAACTACCATCAGCTACTGCAGGATTACTCGGTAAGTAAACACTCCATTGTAAAATCAATGTAGGGTTTAAAACATAGAACATAAAAGCTGAGACCGAAAGGTCTTCTGGAAATGACATAATTGCCCTCTAATGCGTTCAGTTGAGATAAGCGGTCGATATAAAACGTGTTAAAAGCCTCCATGCTTTTTGTCATTGCACCAATTGATGAACATTCGAGGAGTTGTATCACTAGATACTTCTAATTAACATATTTCCCATGTAACATTTCGTTCTCAGCTTCTATGTTCTGTTTTGAACCCGGCAATAATTGAGTGTACTAGTCTTGAAAATGATAAAACATCATTTCAAACAAAATATCAATTATTTTGAGCCTTGTTTATCCTTTTTATTTCTGATAGCCACTAAACCGATCATAGGATTACCGTCCAGTACCCAAACACCCACTGATGTAGACCAGGCATTAACAGTACAGACCAACTATGAAAGTCCTGTAACTGAAGGGTGAGACTTGTTGCTATAGTAACATAAACACCCAGCCATCAGCACTTACAAACTATTAACCTCTGTATATATATTTTGTTGCTGCAGTAACCTGCAACGACGTAGAAATGAATATAAGTTTCTTCCTTTTTAATAACACTATTTTTTCCTTTTCTTTAAATAAGCATTTCACCCGTAGAAGATTTAACGTCCACCTCCCCTCCCCCGACGGGATGCTCGTTATGTCACATTCCTTACTCTGACACAGATTTACCGTTTCCYATCACACTAGCAAAATGCCATGTCTGTAGGTAAGTATTGAGGATCGTAATTATTGATAAATAATTGCTTAGTAACTTCGTTTTTTTTTTGCTTGCCTGTCAATAAAAAAAAAAAACGCTAATACATTTTATACTTAGGTGTTTAAGTTTACATGGCTGGCGGTGTGATTTACGATTGATTGATCTACGTCAAAGATGAATACTTTAATAATCTTATACCCTATTCACACCTAAACGTGTTTAACTAAACTGTGTTTTCATGAGGAAAAAAAAAAAAAAGAGAAACTAGAAACCTACAATATAATGAAACTTTCTAAAATCGTATCAGAGCAAGACAAAGGATAGCTTGCATGAATTTTTTTTACGAAAGATTGTGCAGTGTTCGTAGATAGTTTTTCAAACCTGTTTAGTTAAACCACTTTAAAAGATGTTTACGATTTGATGTGAATGGGGTATTAGCTTTAATTACTTACCTTATTAAATCAAATTTTCGCAACACTTTAATTTTGTGATTTTGGAGGTCCCGTATTTGCGACACGTTAATTTTGCGATTTTGCGAAAAAAGTCAATTTTTTGTCATTTTAATTTCGCATTTTCATGAAAGAGTTATTTATTCCTCTTTTTAATTCAAACACACAGTTTTCTTGAACAAAACGACTTTTTTAAGTAACAGTAATCGTAACCAGTAACAACGACGAGACTCGAAAGATCGCGTTAATTGGAAATGTTCAGTTCAGGTTTTGATCACTCAGATTATTGCCTTATTAGTAACCGTATAAAAAAAAACAAAAACAAACAAACAAAAAAAAAAAACAACCCAAGAACGAGAAATGGTTCGTGTTTTTTCGTGTCTGATTATTAAATTCAATATTTATTTACATGTGCATTTTGGGTGGTCACTTAATATTCGCCACACTTATTCTTCGCGTCACTTTAATTTCACAATTTTTTAAGAAACGCGAAAATCGCGAAGCTAAAGTGTCGCGAAAAATTGACGTAGTTCACATACTAACAAATACCACCGCCCCGTAAAAAATTATATGGCCAATCCTAATYCAATCGCCAGTTACTGGAGTCGGCATCATATGAGACTCAGGTTAAGAGTTGTTCAATTCAAGATGGAGAGTATATGTAAACTTAGTGACGTCAGTAATGCAACGTTGTTTATTCCGTCTACGAAACCGCATCTGTAGTGTTCCTAAAATGTTCCAAAGTAGCCCCTTCCCCCAAATAGTGGTACTTCACAAAGATTAGGTGTTAAATAAGCTCCAGAATACGCGCACATTGGASAACCCAGTGCACGCTCCAAAATAGCCTTGTCTTGAGTTTTTCTCGACTGTCACGAAGATTAATAGATGTTTTGACATATTTTTTTTTAGTATTCCTCGCCACGGCCTTTTTCACTTCCTCATTCTAACTATCGTTTTTCTCTATGTTTCTTTGTTAACAGGTTTCATAAAGTACCGGATCTTTTATTTTGCACAATAGATCCTCCAATAGAAACATCTATAACAGGAAAAGGTTGTTTAATACAAGCAAGGTATAACTTTCTTTATTCTAGGCGCAATTAAAGGTCCGTTCACAATGGCAATAGCTATTTTATGGCGATTTAAAGGCGACAGATTGCGGCCACTTCGAACGTTTTAAAGTGCCTATAAAGTCTACAGGATGTCTTCCTGATTTCAAAGCCCTAATTTCAAATAAATAAGAATGGCCCCTACTTTCTTTTYGATATCTCTTTTCGTTGGCAATATATTCAATATAGAAATCACGAATTGACGACGTCTACCCAGGATCTTCGTAAAAAGTCAATCATCAAATAGAGAATATATTTGTGAAAATTAGCTCAAAATGCCTGAATAAATATTGCAGGCACAGACATGAAAACGAGGGATTTATGGGCAGTAAGAAACCTTTGGAAACCATATAGAGTTACAGCGCAACGCGCAAAATTATTACCACATTTACAGTAATGTATTAGGCTTTTGTACGTTACTGTGCTACGCGCCGTACCGTAAATACTTGTACAAGTTTTTGATTTGTTTTTTACAACTTTTTGACAAGTTTTACTTGTACTATTTATCGCTAATCAATTAGACATCGACGCTTCATCTTGATGTTTCGATAGGCGGACAAAGTGAAGCGCCAAATCCTAATTGGTTGGCGGGAAAGAGTACGAATAAAGATTGTTAAAAAACTTGCAAACAAAAAAATTCAAAAAGAAGGTGTTCACGGTAAGGCGTGTAGCACAGTATACACTCAATTGAAGAATCGTTGTCGGGTTCAGAAACATAGAACATAGAAGCTGATTATGTCATTTCCCATGTGCCATTTCGGTCTCAGCTTCTATGTTCTATGTTTCTGAACCCGACAACGATTCTTCAATTGAGTGTTACCAACACATTTCGATAGGCTGGCTCGTTTCACCAAATAAGGCGCGTAAAATATCGTTTGTAAAAGCCCGTGCATAGAAGTATGCTAATACATTAAATGTGGTCATACTTTAGCGCGTTGCGCTGCATAAAGACGACTGCTAAATCCCTTGAAGAAATTATTTTGTCTGAAGTGAACTATATATTTTCAAAAAGTCATAATCTTGCTCCTGAACTAAAAGAAACTTTAAAAGTATTCCTTCAATTACAGAAATTCCATTCAAAGTTTTCCATAATGCACATAAAATTTTGTCTCTTAAAATATCTATTTGCGGCGACTTGACTGCGATTTTTCGTCATTAAATCGCCATAACATCGCCATTGACAGTGTTCTGACCAGGAAGGGCCCACCAATCCAAAATTTAGGGGCCATTTAGAAAACTGGATGGGCCATTTCCAAAATCTTAAAGCAAAGTTAAATATAATGTTTTTTGCCAGTAACTCTGTTGCAAATCAACAACAATGTAAGACAGTTTTATTAGTAATGACAACTTAATAAACTTTCGCTGGGCAGCCATACTTCAGCCTTCAATAAACAAGGTCAGTTAATACAGACTAGTCCCAGACCTCTTGGCGAGTGAAATACAAGATGGYGGCTATGTTCGATTCCTGGCGTTTCATGTGGACTTTCACCTTGTTTATTGACAATATAATGCGACTTTTATTATTTCMAAAGTAATCTAAATCTTTTAAAAGTATAAGGAAGCATTCTTTGGAAAATTCATGCGCCCTTGGGGGCGCATAAAGTGGAAATTTGTGCGCCATTTCTGTTTTTTTTATGCGCGATTCCCGCARTGGCGCGGCCTGGTAAGCACACTGGCCATTGAAATCACGACAAGATTGATAATGTACACGGCCGTTAATTTTTTGATATTAATGATAATAGCTAATAATAACCTGGTATTATTTTGTCAAGATTTTTAAAACTATAGCTATATTAATATTGAATTGAACATGTTGTCTTTGTACCATTGTGAGCAGAGTGTGCAGAACAAAGAAGAAAGAGAAAGGCGAAACTAATGCAGAGATCGTTAGCAATGTAAGTGTGTGTTTCCTTAATTTTTTTATCGATACCCTGAAATAACCTCTGGGCTGATCAACGTCAGGGCAAGGGTAACTTACAGATCGAACCCTGAAACCGATAACCTCTGAGCTAATCTAAGTCAGGGCAATGTTAACTCACAGATCGAACCCTGAAACAACCTCTGGCCATTAGCTGATGAAAAAGTCAGGGCCGGGTTGTTCAAAGCTGGATTAGCGCTAATCCAGGACTAACTGTATAAGTCTTATTAGAGTTAACCCAGGATTAGCACTAATCGGGCTTTGAACAACTGGGCCCAGGGTATGGCTAACTCAGAGATCAAACCCTGGTCTCAGTTGTTCAAAGCCATTTTAGTGCTAATCCAGGATTAACTCTTAACTCTTTCTGGAAACCATTTTAAGAATTATAGACCCCAGACCGCTATTTTGTCTTTTTAAGTCTCAGCAGTAAAGTTCGTCTAACGTAGAATTTTTCCGGCTCCCCGCTTTCTCAGGTTCCTGGGTCCACCCGTGTTTAGGAGACGATGTTTATGCAGTGTCAACGTAAAAAGTTTGAAAACTTTAATTGGAAATACGAAGGGTCTTCAAGTTTTTTTGATAATCCTTTTCAGATATTGCCATTCTTGGAATACGAACTCCATCAACAGCTGATGAACAAACTCAAGGTATACTTTTACCAAGTTTGATAACGATAAAAAGAACTGCATACATGTGGGTGGGGCGTTATTCAACGTTTGCAACCAGTTTCATGATTGGTCAATAGTGCATAGGATTAAAATGACAATAGATGGTTTTCCAATTAATTAAACAAAACCTAATCTTGTTACGAACAAAGGTTTCAGTACGAATCACAAATCACTGAGCGATATGCACGAACATTGATAGCTTTTCGTTTCTTTACGATTTAGAGAAGGAACAAAAATGTCTCCAAGTATAGAGTGGAAATTTGTCCCTCGCTCAGTAATCCCAAATCAATTTTATTTATTTTTATTACAATTGATGTGTTTGTTTGTGCATGTGTCTGTTCGTAGGTTAAAGGGATGAATGCCTTATTCGGGATTCACTTACAGATTTGTGTAGGGGAAACAATGATAATTGGAATTGCTGTAAGTAGTAATGAATATAAACTCGAAACGCAATCCGTTCGTTTCGTCAAATATTTTTTCAGATATTTTTGATATTGGGTAGGTAAAATATATTCACTTTGAAATCAAAAAGGCAAGAGACTGGGGACAAGTTTTGAAATTTAATCTTAAAAATTATTAAAGGGGCACTGGGATGAAAATCAATAGAAATTGGGAATGACTTGAAACTTGTTTAAACTTATCTATATGGCCCAGATAGTAGCCAAACAACATGTTTCCTTCACAGTCAAAAGTGCGGGAAAAAATCATCGATTTTATTAAGCATCTAAATTGTGAGTAAATGACGTCATTTACTCAACCCTATCGTTCTTTTCGTTTTTAACCCAAAATATCTCAATAGCAAGTGGCTGCCAGGCTAAAATTTTCACTAATCAGATTTCCATAACTATGATTGAGTCATATGTTATCAAATATTTCAATTATTCGGACTTTCAAAAATGGGGGCGTTTTCATCCAAGTGCCCCTTAAACACTTGCTCCCGCAACCGTGCATTCTTTGAAATATTGTTACACTTTTGAAGGCTTGTTAATCTGGTTCTTTTTAATGAAACGCTTTCAAATTTCACAGACTTAATAATATTGAGATACTTTATCAAATGAAATTCGCGCTAGTCTCTTGTTCCTTTATATATATATACCTAACCAAAAACATTCTGTAACTTCAGATATATATATGTCTTTTGTTCTCGAGAGACGAAACAATAGAAAAACAAAAGATATATATATATGTAAAGTTGCAGAATTTTTTTGGTTAGGTGTATATATATATATACATATATATATATACCTATACCTTGATCTCATCTGACTTGCTTCACAAGACATTTTCCTTCAACATGATGTCATTCTTTCTTCATTCCCCGCACGAAATGTATGAGCTGTGCAATTCCAAGCTGAATATATTGATTAGAAATCAAATGAGAAGTTCGATCTCACCTTACCCTCTTGAATCRAATCCGGTGCACTTGTATAACGTGTTATCGAAAGCATCTTGTTTTGTATTTCGGGTTTTTTTTTCAATTTTAATTGAAGGTACATTGTTTATCTAATATTCAGCTTATTGATTTTTCTCAGTCTGCCACGGCCGTGTTCCTGTCTGCCTTACCTCCGCCGCCATTACTGAAAATCTCTGGAAAGGTAAGTGTGATTCGATCTCTTGTTTCGCGATTTCATAAGCAGAATTATTATTATGCTCTTTGACATTCTAAAATCAGAACACCCGGTTGGATCAGTTGGTTAAGTATAGGCCTTTTTCGAATGAGTAAAATCCCGCTGTGTTCCTTGACTACAGCATGAGGCTAACCCTGCGTAAATAAATCTGCAGTTAAGGAACACAGCGGTACTTTACATTTTCGAAAAAAGTCTATTGGTCTGTTGTGCGGGTCAAAAGACTCGGGTCAAAAAAACTTGTGGATGATATTTGTTTTATATGTAAAACACAAAGCACAAAACAAAACCAAAAACAAAACAAAAAACAACAACATCGGAACAAAAAAAAAAAAAAAAGAATCAAAATATATATACGGTAAAAGTTGCCTATAAAAGTTGAATATTGCTTCATTGATAACGTCGATCCTTAAACTATTTAAAATGCTCCTTTCTCAATGTCTTGTTTATCGCTTTCATTTTCAATCAGCGATAAACTGGTTGCTTTAATCCCCAGTGCGTTCAAATAGCTGACCTGATCTTTTATTAAGCTTACGAGTGGCGCCGAACAACGGTAGAGCCTGATAAATCAAGGATTTTCAAAACCCAGTTGGCAGATTTACAAAAAAGGGATCTTGTCTCCGTAATATTGTCGCACTCAGTGTTTGCTTTTGAAAGTCATTTAGTTGACTGATTTTGAAAATATTGGCGACATGAGAGCACGATGTTTGAAACATGTCTTGATTATCGTCCTCCATTTTGGATAATGAACTTTATGCATATATAATTAGCTCCAGGATTTCCGAGCTGATTTTTGATTGGTGGAACACAAAACCTTGCCCGAGTGCGCAGACGTTTTTGGGGGAGGGATCCGAACCGAACCCCGCAGGTCGTCTGCAACGGAGGCTAAAAGGAATAGGGGTAAAAATTACTCAAACGGTTAAATATTCGTTATGATTAATGTTCCCGTAAGTAATATGATAATAATGACAAGCAGCAACCCATTAAATGTGTCTTTGGGTTTAGCAAAAGAAAAGCGAACTACTAATGATTCCCAATTTCGAGGATATTAAAAAACATCTCCTTCAACACTGCCAGCTCTCCAGCGGCATATTTTATCAGATAAAATTATGTACTCAACTGCTTCAAAGCAGTTAAAAACAATTGAAAATGGTTAATGGCAAAAGAATAAATTCATTACAGAGAACCTCAACAGATGAAGACAAACGTTTGACGGAAATACAGAAACAGATCATAGAAACCACCAATAAAAACAGACTGAGATTCAAAATATCCGAGTCATTAGTAAGTATCGTTTAGTAATATATATTCCC